AAAAAAAATTTAAAAAAAAAAAAAAAAAAAAAAGAAAGAAAGAAAAAAAAAAGAGAAAAGAAGGGGTTGGTTCGTTAGCTCAGTTGGTTAGAGCGTGGTGCTGATAACACCAAAGTCTGGGGTTCCATCCCTTTCTGTACCAGCCCACTGCCAGAAAAAAAAAAAAAAAGGAAAAGAAATTTGTAATTGCAATGCAGTCAAATGTATCAATCTTCACTCTTTTGCCTTTACGGTTTTTATGACTTGTTTATTCCTACCCAAGCTCATAAAGATACTCTATATTTTCTCCAACAAGATTTAAATTTTTTCCTTTCACATTTAAGTTTCTTAACCATTTGGAATTGATTTCTGTGTATAATGTGAAGAAGGGAATCCAATTTAATTTTTTCCATATGGCTAATGTGTTGTCTCAGTAACATTTATTGAATTGCTCATACCTGGCCACTGATCTGCTACCCCTGTCATACATCAGTTTTCATATGTGTGTGAGTCTGGTTCTGGCCTCCCTGTTCTCTTATGTTGATCTAGTTGCACAACCCTGTGGCACTACCACACTGTTCTGGTTACAGTTGTTTATAACAAGTGTTTGTATCTTTCACTCTTATACATTCTTAGGAACTCAGCTTAGATATCACTTCCTTAGATTGCCTGCTATGATCTCCCAATATAAGTAAGTGTACAAATTAAATTCTGTTCACAGCTCTTACTTCCATTTGTAATTATACATTTTGAAGAGAACATCATCATCATCATCATCATTTGGTGGCTGGACAGTAGCAGGATCCAAACCCATGACCTTGGTGTTGTAAAGCTGTGTTCTAACCAACTGANAGGAGACCCTTTTGGCGCAGATAAAACTGGCTTTAACCGGCTCTGATCTCCGACCTGGAGATTGCACCTATGCCAGTGACCAATAGGTAAACTTTTGACAACAGAGGCCTGAAAACTCTTCCCTTGGATCATTCTAATGCTTCTATTTTCTGCACATGCGACCCATGAAGAGGCATGACGCTTTCTTGCGCCTGTGTGAGTGACTGAAAGACTTCCTCAAACCTTCTAACCAAGCACCATCCCTCACGCCCTACACCATCTCTAACCATTCTCCTGTAAATATCCTGATTACCCTACCATCAAGAGGTGCATTTGAGAAAAATTTTTCCCATCTCCGTGCTTGGCATCCGGAAGTAAACGTTCTCTCTTCTGCAGAACCAGTGTCTCAGCATTTGGTTTTGCTGTGCATTGGGCAAATGAACCCTAGCTGGGTTACATCACTACATATTTTTCCTATTTGTTTACATTGAATGTAAGCTCCGTGAGGACAGGAATTGCTTTGTCTGTTTTAACTCCTTCAATATCCCAAGTCTAAAACAGTGCCTGGCAATTGGTACATACTCGATAAATACGTATCGAATGAATAAATTAATGAACAAACTTCATTTTCTCCTTTTCATTCACTCAGAAGTCTTTATTTTTGGTTTTGGAATCCAGAGGTACCTCACTTTCTCCTGGGGATTTCTTTGCCTCTACCCTTCATTCTTCCTTCTCATTTTCTCTGTATGGTCCCTTTATGTTACCAGAGGCAGATTGCATATCCTCCTTTATTAATTCTTGGAGCAGGATAAAAGACAGGCATTTGTCTGGGCTCCCAGTAGTTTTGGGAGGTGTTAACAAAATTCACTGGAAACGGATTTGGAGATAAACAGAGACTTTATTGTGTGAACAGTTTGCAAAGTGGGAAGACATAACCTCTGGTACAAAACTGAGTGTACTCCTCCAGAATAAAGAGACAGACTGTCTTATATAGCAAGAGTTCTCACCCAGGTGGGTCCTCTATGCAAATGAGGGATTCAAGGTTGTTTAGTCCTGATTGGTTTGGTCCATCATGCAAAAAAGGGATTCTGGCTTGCTGAGTTCTGGCCAGTTAACACTTGACAGATTACAGCCCATTGACAGATTACAGCCCATTGATTAAGTTCAGGTGGCGAAGTGTTGTGGAAGTCCCAAACAGAGTATGTGTGTATCTTCTAGTTAGTAAATGGCTACTTGGCTCCAGTTTGAATTTAAACCCAGTTAGTCACTTCAGGATCCATCTGGTAGGATGGCTCTTTCAAGGTTCAAAAAGGGCAAATGATTCCCTTCTCTACTCATTACTCCTGACTTCCCAGGAAAGCAAAATATTTCAGACCAAAATATACTTCTTTCATGATGGCTAATTCAGAGAGACAGGAAAAACAAGATTATCTAGAAGGCTATTTTTCTGTGGAGAGAAATTTACATCTGTAGAGAAAGATAAGCAAGCAGTGNGCTCTTTCAAGGTTCAAAAAGGGCAAATGATTCCCTTCTCTACTCATTACTCCTGACTTCCTGAGAAAGCAAAATATTTCAGACCAAAATATACTTCTTTCATGATGGCTAATTCAGAGAGACAGGAAAAACAAGATTATTTAGAAGGCTATTTTTCTGTGGAGAGAAATTTACATCTGTAGAGAAAGATAAGCAAGCAGTGGGCTTCCTCTGAGGCCCCTCCCTCGGCCAGCATCTGTTCTTTCCCAGGACAGCTGCTAGGTTACCCCAGTTATTTTCATCTGCATAACAAGATAGTCTCTGCCTAACTTTTTAGCTTTTGCCTCCATTCTTTCACTTGTGATACCACCTCCCCCAGAGCTCTGAGAAATTTGGTCTCAGGCCATTGTTTGGGCCGATACCTTCCCTCACTTTCTTTCCCCTGTGAAGACTGTT